CCAAATAGCATTCCTGCAGAACAGCAAGATACTACCTGGGTCCAAATACCACAGTACTTATTATTACCACCTGAAGAAAGGAGTCTCACAGGTTTGATATCTTTTGTGTATGGATCAACACCGCACATCTCTGAATCACCAGATTACCTGTGCGAGAGGGCAATTCTGGCTCCAACCAATGAATTGGCCGACGCCATAAATTTGCAGATTATGAGCCAGATTGCTACTGAAGAGATGTCATACTACAGCTGTGACACCATTGACGACTCAACAGCTAACTATTGCACTGTGCAGTCTTTATATCCTACAGAATTTATCAACACAATATGCATGGGCGGATTACCAGACCATCATTTGCAGCTTAAGATTGGTGTCCCTATAATGCTTCTTCGAAATCTAGATCAAACAGTGGGCTTATGTAATGGTACAAGGCTTATAGTTACACAGCTTACTCATCGTATAATTGAAGCACAGATTATCACAGGAAAGGCGAAAGGAGCAGTTGCATACATTTCAAGGATAGTGGCCACTTCAGCTGACCCGAAGTGGCCATTCAAAATCAAACGGCGCCAATTCCCCGTTCGTGTTTCGTATGCCATGACAATAAATAAAAGCCAAGGGCAAACACTAAGCAAAGTTGGTGTTTACCTTCCAACCCCTGTATTTTCCCATGGCCAACTGTATGTTGCCTTCTCGCGTGTTAACTCTTCAAGAGGCCTGCGGGTCGTTGTTGAAAATAACCCCCCTGCATACGAAGATAGTACTCATAATGTTGTCTACACTGAAATTTTTGAGGAGATATACAGTTCGCGTACTCAGATTGCCTAGGTCATCTCATCATCCTCGCTTTTCTTTACCATCAATCACCCTTACTTATTTACTCTCTAATGCGAGTCCTATTGTTTCAGGTTCACCCTATTATGTACTCTCATGAAAAAATGGCACAGCCTTTGTGCTACCTCTGTACTACCCCTTTTGCTATGATCCCTGCTGCCAAAAGGCTCCCTGCTTATAACGTAACACTTTCTCCCTCCAATAGTTATATTTGCATTCAAAAAATATTAGCGCCATCCTCAGTTCCCTCCAGCAACAGTTACCTCTAATTATGTACACTCTAATCCAACTTTTGCTGCTTCATGCTCCATACATTCTTTTCGAACTGCTGGACTAAGCCTAACAAATAGACATGTGACCCTCATCCTGTCCGCTTTAGTTAATTTTTATAACCAGGCTCTTTATTTACTGTGCTACCCCACCTCATTTTCAGTAGAGTATCGAACCATACAACATCCAGCGTTTATAATTGCTGTCACCCCCACAGTATTTTCAGTGCTATCCCAAGAACACGCATGCTGCGAAATTTTGGTACTAAACTTTGCTTCCATGTAATCATGAAACTGTACACACCATGGTTACTTCGATTCCCTACATGCTATTCAAATATACGCCTCTGATCCTCACTCTGCATCATATTCATACGGTTACTTTCATCACAACTACTCATCCTAGAACCCCAGATAGCCTTTTGACTCTATCTACATACAGCTGCAGTGAAATACTACATTGGCCAGCCTTACTTCCAAAGTATTGTTCTTGCCTGCATTTAGCCACAGATTTACATAGAGCGCTAAACTCATCCATCGGTTGTCCCATTGATGGTCAACACACTTTTGGCCTACATTTAGCCATAGATTCTAAATCGTATATACAAATAGCGCTATAATCACCCATCAGATGTCCCATTGATGATCAATAGACTTTTTTTACATGCCACATATGAGTACCATACTTTACTACTGTGAATCCTTATTGATAAATTCCTACCTGTAACAGGAAAGCAGTTCACCCAGCTTCAGCACAGCGAAGTGCTAGCCCTGCGTGGAGGCTCACACATGATAATTTCGAGATGGTGAAATATTCAGCAAGGTGAAGTTCAATAGATATATGTTGATATTATGTAAGAGTCCGGTTACATTAGAACTTTGAGTTGTATTTGGAAGCTCATAAATATGAGAGGGGATGCTAGTTCACGTTTGGAAGGCAGCGCCTTCTAGGGACCTTATAGCGACCTTTATTGCGATATTTGTGAGGAACGCCACTAGTTATGCCTCGGGATGCAGACTTTCAGCCAAGCATCATCAATAAAAATCATGACCCCAGTGTCAGGATCACGTAGCGATAGGTGTTGAGATATTTGGGAGGAACGCCCATAGTCATGCTTGGAGAATATAGGCTTGAGCTGAACCACGTTAACAAAGATCATGCCACCGGTGTTGTTTATGATATTGAATTAATGTTCGTCTTAGTTGATCCAATTGTTACTTTGTATAGTGGATTCGGTCGAGCTTACTATACCCATGAGCCAGCACCACACCTAGCTGAGGTCCGCTAGAATCCACAACCAAGTGAGACGAACATTTTCGTAGGTGAGGCTGCTCTCCACCTTGTATGTTGTGATTCTCCACTATCGATTTCCTATGTGTGGGACTTGACATCTATTAGCAATTAGCTAGCTAATAACTATATTAGTAGATCCAAATAGGGTCTAAGTTGATACTCCCTTTGGTCCAGTTTATAAGATGCTTTCTAACATGCACAACCTGAATCTCAAACTTCCCCCGATGTGCAGTTCTCCTAGTGTCTTAGTATTCAATATTTAGTAGTGAGGATTCCCATGTGCTATGACTAGTGGTAGTGTTTTATTACTATTTAAAAATACTAGGAGAATTCTATTTTTATAGTGATGTTCACGATCTCCTAAATTACACTTTGGTAATTCATTTATTTTATATTATATTATTTATAATTATGAGCATTATGATTATTTTATAGTACATTTAATTACGAATCTAATAGTATCAAGTTTGTATTACAATAGTTCAAAATTGTTAGCCAAATTAGTCCAAAAGGGAGTAGCACACGTTTCAGTTGAAAAAAAAGAAGCATAGTAAACAGCAGATACGTAATAAGTATTAAGTAGAATTAAAGGACACTCTGACCGGCATTCGGCTGGCATCTTTATTTATCGTTTACATTAACAGAGGAATTACAAATTCGACAAGTTTGACCCAACGATAAACTCAGACGTACAACTTACAAGCCCGGCAAACTGAAACATGATGACACTGATGAAGTGATAAACCAACCATCTAGTAGCGGTAAAGTAACAAACAGAACAAAATCAAGACACACAATTATGCGCTGAGTTGATCTAGGACACCACCGTTCATTGTCGCTTACAAGCGGCAAAAACACCGGCAGCGCACGTCCCACACCGGCAGAGCTAGAGACGGCATGATATTTATGCGTTTATATATATATTTTTTTATTTAATAAAGACTTGCCCACTCTCAAGTTCCGTCAAAGCTCCGCCGCTTGCCAACCGACGCACTGCAAGCACACCGGCATAGGTAGGACGGGCCTGTCGAGCGGGCACCCTGCAAGTGAAAGTAGGAGTCAGAACCTAGTTGAGATCAGAAGATCCAGATTAAGCGAACGCAAGTAATGCGTAGCTGCAGCGAAGCAACGCAAAGAAATAGTGCAGTGATAGATGCTAATGACGGTAAATGCACTAATGTGAACCTAATTAAAGATGTTTAAAACGCCCTAGAACAAGCAGCTCAGTTGGGTCACATTTAGAGCCCTGGATCAGATGGCCAAACTCTGGTTCCGACCATGGCCCTGACCTTGGTAAAGCTCATGGATCGGGCTTCAGGCCACTTGGTTGCTGGGGTTAGGGCACGTGGCCACCTCAGCTTTCTTAGAATTCATGTATTCCAGGCCACATCATCATGGAACAATTGCCGTATTATGTGCAACCTTCGGGTCAGAGTGTGTGTTTACTGGATGCAGTTCTGAATCTATTGGAAATCTATAAGATGACTGAAGCTTGCTTCAGACACCAAGCCTCAGAGTCCCCAGTTCCGGTTCCAGTTCGTGGCCACTAGCACAAGCTTGAGCAACCAGCAGTTTGGTTTGGGAGCACCAATGAGGCCAAGAAGAGATCATATGGCATGAGAATCTTCCTTCTCTTTTTCCTTTTTCTGTGAAATTCCTTTTTCTTTTGTTTTTCTTTTTTCTTTTCTTTTCTTTTCTTTTGAACGTATATTTTTTCCCAAAATGCTTTCTGCCAATTTTATTGTTTCCCCTTGTTTTCTCTTCCTTTTCAAAGATTGAAGCACCTTGTCTTTTGTATCTTTTTGTTTTTCTCATATGCAAAAGGAGCCCTTGTCCGAAGGTCAGAAATCCAGGCTAGTGCCTATCAAACTCTCGCAATAATCCAATAACTTGGCTCTGTTAAATCTTGGAACACTGAGGACATCCAGGAGTCAGTCAATTTGACTTTTGAGTGAAACAACTCGTTGCCCAAGCCAGTATTAGATCTGTGCATCCACTATCTGTGATTCCCCTCTTGGAGACGCAGTTCAAAAGGCCAAGAAAGAAATGCAAGTTCACTTTCCTTGGGATGGAAAATTTGAGCCCTGTCATTTTTAGACTTCCGAGTGAAACAACTTGTCGCCTCAGTCCAGTATTAGATCTGTGCATCCACTATCTGAGTTCCGTCTTGAAGAGAGGCAGTTCAAAAAATCATGAAGTAATGCAATCTCATCTTCCTTGGAATTGAAAATTTGTGCCCAAGTCATGGATTCCTTTTCCCTGGGATGGGAAATTTGTGCCCAAGTCATGGATTCCAGTGGCATTTGCCTGCTTGATCCATCCTTTCCAATACAACTTTTTTTCTGATGGACACCTAATCTTAGCATCTTGGTTTGGAGTCAAGTAGTCAACTGACCAGTCCTAGGTTATCCTCCTATCCATGGCTCCATGCAGATTGCAGACATAGAGACATTTGGTACACGATCACACCGCACAGATGTCATCAAGTTACTACCTTTATTGTTGATGTATCATCTGGATGCAGCAAGAGTTTTCAAACAAATCGTGCATGATTAATTCCATTTGAGAAACAAGAGCAAGGTATAGATGAGATTTGTACCTTGTTATGGTTTTGGGGGGTCCAGCTGGGCGGCTTTCTCCTGGTGGATGAAGAAAGCATAAAAACCACCGAGCACAGTTGCTCCTGCCATTGCCCACACAAGCACCTGCACAGGGAGTGGCATAATTGCTGCCACCTTGTATGAGAACGCAGCAGTGAGCAACGTGGTGAGTAACCACACCACCATTTTTATGCGGTCCCGGCTGGGAGACTCCGGTGGGGTTGTCTCGAACCGACGCAGGCAGTAGAACAGCAGAACGAGGACCGAGTAAGAGAAGGCCACAAAGGAGATAGCTCCAACATCTCCATTTGACCTGTACACGGCCATGAATGAGTTGAAGGTTAGGAATGCAAAGCCGATGATTGTCAGCAGTGAGGGCCATGCACCCTCACGGTCCTTCGGTGTTGGCTGCTCGATCATGGCTTCATTATCCAGGAACTGTTTCTGCTGCTTTGAAGCCATAATACGGTTCGGAAGAAGTCAATGAGCACTCTGCAGAAAAGAGAGGCAACACAAAATATAAGGTATTCATTTGGAAACTCTGGTCTGACCAAAGAGGAAACAGAACTTCAAATTCAGTGTTGGGTGACTGATTGTGCCCTGTTCATAAGCCAAATGCACCCTAATTCCTTTTGTTATCCAATTAAGAAATACTAGACCTCTAATTTCAGTTGCTACTCTGGCAAAGTATTTTTTAAGGAATCTACTGAAAAGTATGCGAATTTTTAACAAATATTACTGTAACATAGAAAATTGTCAATTTAAATAACTGTGGAAAAAATACAGCCCATCAGTGTAAAAGCTCGTGACGTAGTTTATGTTTTGCACATGCCTTGGCTATCATGATTGACATGAGTTAATTTAAGCACTGTAAATTCATTTAGCAGGAGTTTGAAGTCCTGAAACGATTAGGCCCTGTTTCTCTTTTCACTTAGGTCTTGTTTAGTTCTAGGTTGTAAAGTTTTGGGGTGTCACATAGGAGTGTTGCATGGGCTGTTCGGATATTAATAAAAAAACAAATTACAGAATCCGTCAGTAAACCGCGAGACGAATTTATTAAGCCTAATTAATCCGTCATTAGCACATGTATTGTTGTAGCACCACATTGTCAAATCATGGCTTAATTAGGCTTAAAAAATTCGTCTCATAAAGTAGTCGCAATCTGTGCAATTAGTTATTTTTTAGTCTATATTTAATACTCCATGCATGTGTCCAAGCATTCGATGGGATAGAGTGTAAACTTTTGAGGAAGGAACTAAACAAGGCCTTAAATTGTCCTTTCCTTACTGTGGTATTTTTCCAGTGACACTGTACATTCTCTCACCTAAATCCTATCTGTCACATCCAAAATGTATTGTGTCACGTGTATGTTTATGGTTGACTACACAATTTGGATGACAAGTCAAACAAAACCACCCAGTAGTTACATAGGCACTCCCATAAACAATTCAATGATGAAGCGAGTTTGTCTGTCAATTGGGCTCAATCATTCCTTTGAAGTATGAGAGCTTCAGATCTGACTTTGTGTGCGTTGAATGAGTAAATTGCACGGCCGGTCTAAAGTATTACGCGATTTTCGTCAAGGTCCCTAAACTATGAAATTGCATACTTGTTTCCCTAATACATTTAAGTGATCTCATCCTAGTTGAAAGTAGACATGACGACACCCAAGAGCCGATGTGGTCATCCACATGGATTTGATTTATGCAGAAAACCCCTTGGGCCAAGTCAAACACATGTCCACTTGGTGGCCGGCAATGGCAAGATGGTGAAGTTGGTGGAAGAAGTTGGGCCCCGGCTCGGACTTGCTTGCCTAGCGAGCGCAAGGAACAAAGGGAGTGGCGTCGAAGCCGATGGCGCTCTAGGCACGGTTGAATGCGAAGTGCAAAGGCAAGAGGAGGTTGGTGGCCCTAAGCACTTTACGATGCGGTGCTGGAACATGAGCTGGAGCAGAGAGTAGTGTCCCGGCGATGGTGGACGCCTTTTGGGTCCCCCGGTGCGAGCAAGGGGTGCAGGGGTTTACGGCGAGACCAACACATGAGGAAACGGAATAAGGGTCATGAAAGCGGCCAGCCATGCGCAAAGGTTGAGCTCGCAATAATGCTGGTCGAAGAGAGGGAAAATGGCGCGACAGATGGCACCACAACGCTTACCGCCAAACGATCCTTGCAATGGCACGTCGCTGATGTCCCCCAAGCTAGCAATCACATCGGCCTGCTTGTGCGGGATGTGCAAGCTAACGGTAAGGCTACTGGCACCAGAGGTGTAGAAGAGGTACTCTAGCACGCCGAGCTCCGCGGAGACACTGAGTGAATTGATATGGAAGATGTCAAGGACGAGCGCGCGCCCATAACAACACCCACAAAATATTATCACACTCGCCCTTAGCACAACGTACGGGTTTCGGGCACCTGTCATGTGTGTTAATCTCACAAGTAATATATTATTGTGAAAACAAGCGAAGTTTTTCATCTATATATCACACATCTAGTCATCTATCACATATGTGTCATGTAATTATACAAGTTTTTGAAATGAAGTAAAATTTTAATATTTAGATGTCAAAACATGTTTATTAGCAACTAGATATGGATACTTAGTTACATGTGATGTTCTATATATTTCAGGCTCTCATAAGCACTCTTGGTGCAATTTAGCACCAGCACCCGACCTTTTTTTATTGAGACAATTTCTATGAGCCATTATAAAAGATGTAATTCCTCATTGGCCACCGAAAAAGTTCGGCCATGTTCGCTGGTCTAAAACTTGGCTGAAACTGGCTGAAAAACATTGTTCTGGCTGAAATGTTGTGAGAGAAAAACATTGTTCCGGCTGAAAAAAGAAGCCGAACAAACCAAATTTCAGACCAGCCGAACGAGGCCTTCATCTTCCTTCTCAACCACAGATTCGATTTTTCCAACCCCTACACGCCACTACCATCAACTTCTGGGGCACTGCAGCTAACAGAAGCATGAAATGTCCCTTTTGCCCCTCTTAAAGGTGGGCCCCATGCATCAGCCTTCTTCCCACTCCATGGCCGGAAGCTAGCTGCACTGTTGCTCGCACGCGGAGGGAAAGGGAGCTTGGCCAAGCCGGCGGCAGAACACGGTGCAGCGTGGGCCCACACGATAGTGCCCGCGGCTGCCTACATGGTTGCCCAAGCGGTGCCAGCAGGGTGCGCCGACGGACACCCGAGCGCTTGATGTCGGCGATCTTGACGCAGCGCGCCGAGTCAATGAAGAGGTTTGAGGGCTTGATGTCGCGGTGCATGATGTGGCGGCGGTGGGGGTAAGTAATCCCGAATAAGACCTAGCACGCGACGTCGGCGAGGAACGACTCGGCAGAGATGCGGCGGCAGTCGAGGGAGCCGTCGTCCATGAACTCGAGCAGGATCTGGAGCTCCTCGCCGCGTTCGTACATGTCGTGGCAGCGCTCCACGGCCGGGTGCTCGGCGGTGCGGAGGATGGCGATTTCACGCGCAATTTGGCACCACACCGCGTCGTCATGGTTTCCGTAGAGCACCTTGAGCACGTAGAGGCGCCATGTCACGCGGTGCCGCACCATCCACACTGCGGGACGGTGTGGCACTGTGGGACGGGGCACCTCTACGCGCTCAAGGTGCTCTACAAGAACCACGACGACGCAGTGTGGCGCCAGATCGCGCACGAGATCTCCATCCTCCGCACCGCCGCGCACCTAGCCGTGGTGCGCTGTCACGACATGTACAAGCGCGGCGGGGAGCTCCAGATCCTGCTCGAATACATGGACGGCGGCTCCCTCGACGACCGCCGCATCGCCGCCGAGCCGTTCCTCGCCGATGTCACGCCAGGTTCGGCCATGGAGTGAGGAAGAAGGATGACACAGGGAGGGGCAAAAGGGACATTTTACACTTCAGTTAGAAGTCGTTCCTCCATAAATTGACCATAGTGGAGTGTAGGGGTCGAAAAAATTAAAGTTGTGCTTGAGAAGGAAGATGAACTTTGTCGGTGGCTAACGAGAAAAAATTGTCTCTTGTTTATTTTGAGCCACAACCTGATGAGACTTGTGGGATTTGGCACCCACGAGACTTTGGCATTTCACCCATCATCGAAAACTGGTTTCACACTTTTACCATCCCGCAAAATGGTTTCGCTAGTTTGCCATTATGAAACATGTGCAACCCGCCGGAATGCCATTTGGTGACTTTAGATCTCAAAAAAACGAAGTTTTCTTCCACATTTACCCCTTGCCCTTTCCTTCTTTCATGTGAGAGCACACGGATGGACGGAACCGAGGGAGGAGAAACGGATCAAGCCAGGCATAGGCCTGCCACCACGCCGCTAGCTAAGACCTGCCACCTCTCCGTTTCCTTCCGTCGAACTCAAGACTGCCTCCTTTCTCCAGATGAGCAGCGCCTCGCTTTTCGCCCGAACAGAGGAGGTCGCGATGCTTCCGTTCGCTAGCGTGAAGGCCACGCGACGCCACCCTGCCACAATTTGAATCAAGGCCCGCGCTTTTCTTCTCCTTTTGGGGCACGGCATGGACGCGCTTCGCATCAGCCCCCTTCTTGAACGTTCGAGCCACGCATCCCGATCCCCAAGCCACGTCGCCCTGGCGGCCGTCACATCCATGGTTCCGGACACGTGCACCTCGGCAGAACCTTAGCCACCGGATTTACCCGCCTCTCGCCGCCTCCCTTGGCCCACCGCCACAGGGTCCAACAACGAGCATGCTCCACTCGCCTCCCTCGTTCCCTCGCCGACGCTGCGCCCGAAGCGCCTCGGTGGACTCGATTCCTCAGCCGCAGTATTGACCTGCTATTTATACAGGCGGAGCCTCCAATGACGCCGACATGCCGCCTCGCTTCACGGCAAGATCTGCCACCACCGCGCCGCCGCCACGCGGAGTCGTGTTCCCACCAATCATTCGTTGGCCTGACCCGAAGCCTCTTGATCGAAGCTCACGACAGTGCCACGCTTTCTCTCCTTCCATACACAAAAAATGAGAATGGTGGTCGCAACAGGACCTCGGGGCCTCCAGCTCAGAGGCCGCTTCTTTGGCGCGCCATGCCAAAGCACAAAGAACAAGAGTCGCGAGGTGGATGACCTAGCCCCCTTGGCGAGGCTATTCGTGGGCTTGCCATCATCGACTCGGTCATTTAATCTGCACGGTGAGACCGAGGGCCATCGGCCGAGGGGCGGCGCAGGGGCGAGCCATGTGCCGACGACGCCATCAAGACATCGGGCACGCTGATGGCCACGCCGTCGCGACCGGAGTTGGAGCAAAGGTGCCGCAGAGGCGAGATGTGCCCACCACAAGACGAGTAGCACCGTCGTCGGCCCGACCAGCAAGCCCCTTTGACCGAGGTTCAGTGCTTCTCAAATGTCTTGCAGTGCCGACGCCATGGCTTCCTCGCCGGAAGGCGAAATGCCGAGCGCGACTACGCACAGAGCATGAGGGGAAGGGTCCGTCTTCACACGCAT